GAGTCAGGTGCTGGCGATTCAAACATGGCGCCTGCCTGCCGGCTGTGTGCGGGGAGGACTCGCCAAAGGAGCCATGGCCTCCGCCAGCCCTTCTGCCTGGGAGGAAGCTGGCCCTCCACCCCTCGCCCGGATCTCAGGCAGGTTAGTTCCCCCCCGAGTGTCCCGGGTCCTTTCAGGCTGCTGCCCGGCGCTGGGCTCAGAGGGCGCGTCCGAGTGAGTCCGTGCCGGGCCCTTTAGAGGAGCTGCTGGGGCTCCCGCGGCCTCCACGACCCTCAGGGACAGTTCCCACTGGTTTTCACAGCCTGAAGTTGTGGGGACATCTCTTCCCGGCCCTGGGCTGGGGGCCTGCTGTGGGGCTGGGACCCCTCCCTCCTCCGGGAAACCTCCACTGCTGAGATTCTCTCCCAGGTTTACCTGGCGGCACTGGGTGTGGGCCCTTGGCCAAGTCTCCACCCCTCCTATCCTGGTCTCTGTGCTTCTTCAGTTCCCTGATTGCAGGGCTTCTGTTCAACTAGATTTCAGGAAGTTCTGAGTGATGGTTGTTCTATACTTTAGTTGTAATTTTGATGTGGTTGTGGGAGGCAGCCGGTACAGCGGTTACCTACGCTGCCATCTTGTTAGGACCCCTTCTCTCCACTTTTCTGTGTTTAGATCATCTGACACTCATATTACAGTGCATTCATCAGTAGTATCTGCTTTACTCACCGGTTACCAATTTCTTCCCTGTGTTTCAATAGGGCTTGGTTGGCCATTTCTGGTTCTTCAAACTGCACATAGGCTTCTCCTGTCTTTCTTCTTCCTCTGTAGTCCATTACAAAAGTAATGTCTACTATATTCAGTCCTAGAACACCAAAAAATTATTACAAATTAGTGTTGCTAACAGGAGCTTTTTATACTTAACTAGTAACACCTACACATCTATATTTCCAGAACGTTAGGGTCCAAGCAGTCTATGTAAAACACAATTCTCTTTCTCTCTCTTTTTGCCATTATATAGAAGGAAAAATAGAGATTTAGACTAACATCACTATTAACGATGCATGTTTCACAGCTAACAATTAGCTAATAATGCTATTAAATCACATAAATTGTTATTGTCTTAATATCGACGCTGCTATGAGAGGCTATTTTTTCTTAATAGTAAAATAAACCCACATGAAACCATTTTGAAATCTGACATCCCCCAAAGATCAGCAGGATAGTCAAAATATTTACGTAATCTATGAATACTAGAAATCCAAATGAAGAGTTCTCCCCTAAACAACCTAATATAATTATGACAGCTTTACAGTTATAAGAAAACAAAATCTTAATTTTTCTCTAGTCCAAAGATTCTACAGGGTGACCATAAAGCCTAAAATACAGATACTACTATTTTGTCATTCATTGTAATGTAGTATCAATAAGTCACTTACTAAGCGAAAAAAAAGAACCTAATATAACTGCATGCAGTTACCTAGGAAAAGGTTAACCTAAGATAAAGGAGACAATGGAGGGGAGAAAAGATATGAGGCTCCAAACATGGTAAAACTGAAAAGCACCTGCAAAGAAGTCTACAATGTCTTTCTCATTGCAACTATACGGAAGTCCTCTCAGGCGAACCACACCATCATTTACCACAGGTGAAGATTTGACCTGCAGGTTCTTCATTAAGGCATCCACGTCTTCATTGTTTATCTCATATACTACAAGGCAAAAGCATAAAAGGTATGTCAAATTTACATCATAACAAAGGAATAAGCCCTTTAAAAAAATCATACTTGGTGGATTATCCAAGAATTTAAAAACTAATATTTTTTAATCTTTATGTACTTCTCTGGAGAAAATAACAAATCACATTTATTGAATACTTACTATGCCAGTGTCACTCATTTAAACATCACAACTTGTGAGATAAACTTGGTGAATTTCGTCATTTTATAGATAAGAAACAGAGATGATTTCTGTGCTTCATTTCTGCACCCTGTAAAAGGGTGTACTCATAATATCTAAATACTTCACTATTGCTAAGGTTCAAATTAAACTGCCTTGGAAAACGTAAAGTATTACGTATGCAACGATCCCGCACAAGGCGACCTCACATACCTTCCACATACCGCTGCCCCATGTACAAGCGGTGCTTTTCCAAGGCTTTCTGCACGTCCTGCTCCGACTCCATTTCAATTAAGGCATCACCCCTTCGTTTCCCATCTCTGTTTAAGAGGAAGTGTATTCCATTCTCACCGTTGCGGATTCTGCAGTCTAAAGATATGTGAGTAAAAACCAATTAAAACCAGAAATCAATCTTTCAACTCAATTATATGTCACTGGAATGAAATATTCCAACAAAACATAGCAGGGACCAAAATGCCTGCCATAGTCCTTACACAATCCCCCATCACCGAAGCCACCCAAATGACAATGAGGTGGCAGTCTCCAAAATGTTCACGTGAAAAAGATAAGCAAACTTTACTGCACATAAGCTTACTGTCCCCTTATCATCACATGGCAACTCAAGATAGGCTCAACAAGAAAATGTATCATGTCCTTCTCAATGCTCCTATGGTTACGTTTACGCTTAAGTGTCTTCTTTTCTTACAATCATAACCAGAAAAACTCTAAAATATCTCCTGTAAGAATAATTCTGCTACCATAATTGAACTCTTCTCCTTTTTTATTACTATGAAAAGACATCCCCTTATTGCTTACTTCTTATAATGGCTTTACAAAATGCCTGACCACACAATGCTATTACACTGTTTTTCCAACATTTAAGGTAGCATCTTCTAAAACTCCCTTAAAAGGAAAATTAAAAATCAGTCAGATACAGAAACGAAAAAACTAACCACAGATATGTAAGCCTTCCAAACGTGTTTTTCTTTCTTTTTTTAAAATTGATTTCAGGGAGAGAGAGAGAGAGAGAGAGAGAAACATTAATGAGAGTCATTGATCAGCTGCCTGCTGCACTCCCCCTACTGGGGATCAAGCCGAAAACCCAGGCATGTGCCCTGACTGGGAATGGAACCCTACGTGCCTGTTGGTTCATAGGGCTATGCTCAACCACTGAGCCACACAGGCCCAGCCCAAACATATTACTAAGGGAACTATGTCACTTGATAGTAAGTAATCTTGTGTTCTAAATGTATATTACATAAACAGCTACTCTTATGTAATATTCCCACTAACATATTTCCACTAAAAGGTTTGGCCTTTTGACCCGTCCATAATAAAACTTGAGAGAAAACTGGTTTTATTAAGTTTTAGTCTTAGCATTAAATTTTCCGTTGCTTTATTAAATTTTTTATTGCATTCAATCTTTAAACTTGGTATACGTCACAAATGGTACACATGAAGTCACTTGGTATGCACATGTAACCAACCAGATGAGACAATTCTCAACCATCAAACAGGCTGTTTATAGCATAGTTTAACTTGGATTTTGTGGGACTTTCTTCTGCTCAGACAAAATTACATATTTAAAATATATATAAAATATACCTGAAAAAAAGCTAAGCACATCTTCGACAGTGCACGACCATGGTAATCCTTGAGCTCGAATGAGATAAACATCATCCACTTCCTCTCCTAACTTGGATGGAGGCAATTCATACTCGGGGAGAGGTGGAAGGTCTTCCAGGTAGGTAGTTTTAGACTCCTTCAGAGAGAATTGAAGAAATATAAAAATATTTTTTTGACAACCTACTCAGAAAATGTTCACTTCTACAAGCTAATGCTCTAGATGTTTTTCTTAGGGGACAGGTACCTTTTCAGAGGCAAGAAGTAAGCTTCCCAAATTTAACTCATCCTGTTTTGGCTTAAATTGTACATCCTAAAGCAACAAGCTGGCATATCCTAATGGTTTGGCAGGACACAAAGTATATTCAAAACTTGCTTTGAAATTCTTCAGTCCCAAATTACACCTAATAATAAAGTTTCTGTTAAGGCAGAACAAGGTGGTGGGGGTCCCTTCAACTTGTGTGAGTGCCTCCTACTCACTGTGAGCCTCATCTCAAAAAGTTTCCCGTCTAAGACACGCACACAAGACAAGATGCTTTAAGTGCTATAAGATACATTATAAGAATTCAAAACAGAGCACTAAGAGAAGAGTCAAGACATGATATGAGATGGGCCTTGAAGGGAAGACAGACTTCTGACAGTGACATACAAAGGAAAGGGGATTCCAGTTGGGAGGGGAGGGGAGGAAGCAGTGTGAACAAAAGCCCATTTGCAAAACGGCAATAATCCCATTTGGCTAAACGGCAGGGTCCAATGAGACCCCAAGGAAGATGAGCTGGCAAAAGGAACTCGTACCATTCAGCAGAGGGGCTTGAGCGTTAAGCTCAAGGTGTCCCTTCACCTGGTGGGCAAAGGAGAGTTAATAAAAGAGCAGGACGCTTGGAAGACTATCTGCAAATGGTGTGCAAGCGCAGCCCACTCAAGGAAAGGTCCCGAGAGGCAGAGCAGCCGTGAGGGAGCGGAGCCCGAGACACGCCCGAAGGACGCGACTGTGCTTCTGCGCAGGGGGCAGGGGTGA